ATATGGATGTCGATCACTCAAATTTCATAGTAAAAAATTTACCCCTGTGATCTGCGTGACAAATCGTGTGACTGATACTGTATACGGTACATTCGTTCAAGAGTCATCGAGGTGAAATTTTTATTAAAAACCGGCAACGATTAGTTTCTTAAGAGAACATAATAACCTTATATAGTGAGTTTTATTTACATCCAATACCATTCGTTATATATAGAGAATTGATCGTAGGAAACTTTTTTTATACTCAAAATTATCAGTTTATTATTTAGTTAATTGTATATTACTTTTATCAAAAATTTATGATCGTAAACCCGGACGCGTTTGTCATACTGTAATCCCGTGGTTTCAGCGAAATTAAAAACTACTATTAGCTTCATTCATTATACTTTAGGAAAATTATTAATACTTTTTCGTAAGGTAATATCTTTTATCATTAAATTTCATCAATGATTTCACAAAAATATTCATAAATTGTTTAATTAATAAAAGTAAACGATAAGTGAACTGATCGTATTTTATTAACACAAGGCCATTTTTATATATATATTATTATGCTACATAGAGCGTTGCATTCTTTATTTTATTATTATTATTCATTAGACTGCATTAAAACAAGGTCGTAACATAATAAAATTACAATTAGGAATTAGGTGATCTCTCTTTTAAAAATACATAAATTTCGTGGTCATTAAATACACCAAAATAATTGGTGATACAGTATTAAAAAATACTAAAAATACAAAGTTTGATAGAATATTAAATAATGTCGAACACACACATATATAGAATTCCTCCTTTTAAAAATGAATTGAAGATGCGAGATATTTTAATACATATTTATCTCTTGCTAGGGAAATTGCAAATAATAGTAGAAGAAGTTGACTGTTGGCAAACTAAGACCCCAGGACATTGTCGAATAACTTGCTTGCCATTACTGCATGTAGCAAAGTCACCGGATGCACCAGTGTTTAAGCAAGTCATAACACCATTATCAGGACAAGGAGTACCATCCAATGGGTTAGCGGATCCTGTGTCAGCAGGTGAAGGATTTGGTTCAGGAGTAGCAACAGGTGAAGGATTTGATTCTGGGGTAGTAGAATCAGGTTGAGTATCAGATTTCGAGCTTGATTTAGAAGCACGATGTTTTGAACCAGATTTAGAACTATTATTCGATTTAGAACTATTATTCGATTTAGAACTATTATTCGATTTAGAACTATTATTCGATTT